CATCCCCCCTAGGGTCAATCATCACATGAGTAGAGTTCATTAAGTATCTTCCTTGATTCAAGGCTTTTTCTCCACACTTTCCGGTTTTTCTCCCTTAGCAAAACCTAACACACTCAATTTGTGAGTTAGCCGTACCCTGACTTTGATCAGCCCAGAAGAATTATCAGGGTTCAATCTGTTAGTTAGCAATACCCTGAATTTTTCTCAGTTCAAAGGGAGGCTGTTTCAGGTACATTAAAATTGCAGATATTTCAAAGGTTTTGAAGGAAACCGACTGAGGTTTTGGACCTCAAGTAAAAATAACTAAAATATAAAGGAAGGATTACCATATTGATGTTGGATCCTTCTTCTCTGTAGCCAATTCTATAATGTATCAAACCTAAATTCCCTGTTTGGGCTTGGTCTTTCCATGACAATCTAACGCTGCCTTGTTGAAATTCTGTGGCATTGAACTTGATGGGCTGTGCAGGTGTGGCTGGTGAATCAGAAATAACATTGAAGATCAAGCACAATGATGATGATGATGATGATGATGATGATGGTGATGATGGTGGTGATGATGATCATGATGGTGGTCATGATCATGATGGTGGTGGTGTTGATGATGATGTTGATGATGGTGGTGATTCTGAGGGTGATGTTTAGGAAGTTGATGACAATAATACTGGTGATCGTTGTAGTGATGGTGATAATTACCAGTCGAGCAACTGCATTTGTATATGATTTAAATTATGATTATGACAACAAATGCAGTTGCTTAATTAAGTAATGCAATATTAGCTTGTCGTCAGTTAGTCAATCTGTTGGTCAGTCAGTTGTTCAATCAGTAAGTCAGTCAATCGGTTGGTAAGGCAGTTGGATGGTCAGTAAGTCAGTCAATCAATCAGTGGTTCAGTTATGTCAGCAATCAGTAGACCTACTGTATACTCTGACTCCCAAGTGATCTATGTACTTCTGCACAGAGGTTCTTAGGATAATTGCACAGCATTTTGTTCCCCAATCGGAACTAAATATCACATGGCCAGTCTATGTTACATGTAGAAGGCTAGTACTTACTTAACGGATAGATAGGGGATGGCCTGAAAAATGATATTGATGCACTTGAGTTTCCAAAGCGATTTATAGCATACACAGTTGCTATGTAGGTGTTAAATAAAGCAGCACTTAAAAGGCTACATGAATAGTTCATTCCATCAACATGTTTTAGTGAATCACAATCAGGTAGAAATCCTGGAGCATAATATACTCCGCCTTTATCGCGTCTTTCAAGTGAACAATTGGGCGGGTCTGTACAGTGTATTTGTACTTTGTAGTATGTCAGTATGCCACCAGTAGAATTAGCAGATGTCCAGTGAAGAAACATGTTGAATTCATATGAGGTTGTATACAGATGTCTTGGAGGGCTTGGGAGAACTTAAACAAAAAATATATTTTTATATTATAAACTCTAACTGATTTAACAAGAGGAGCTTGTTAATGTGGGGATAGAATCGCCAAATCCAATAGAAAATTCAACAAAATTTGCTCCTAGCGAAACAGTTTAATCTAAAATGGCCTGGTTTTCAGATATAATATGTGACATTAATATGTACTAAAAAATATTCCAAGTGGTTGCTGGCTATTCTGCTTCTCTTTGTGGATTGATATGGGTTTTAGAACAATTTTTGGTGAATTTGCATTGATTTGACCCCCACCGAGGACCATGATTCTTTGCTTTGTTTCTGTTGTTTCTCGTTCTATTATATTCATCCAATTGGGTAAACAGCTGCAACCTAGCTTGCTGATTTCCATTACAATGATATTGTAGCGTGGCACAAATTTTACTTAGTCCCTTAGTAAAATCTAACTAGCTTTCTAAGTAGATCATTCGGAAAGCATTCAGGTGACAATTTATTTTTCTAAACGAAGTTTGTAAACATTAAATTAATTTATCTTATTCTTTTTTTTTTTTCTATTTAAACTTATAATATTTAATTCATACTGTATTTTCAGAGACATCTAAAAACTTTGATAAACAACGAGGACCTGTATTTAAACTGCAAGCACCGTTTGATATTACCAGCCAAAGGAAGAAAAATGATAAGTTTAACAACTTATTTCATTCGAGACTTCTGCTGTTTAATAGACGCGTTTTCAAGAATATTATTATAATAAATTTATTCAATTTAAAGGTTTAAAAACTAAACCTAAATATATAATTCTAGGATGGCCCTCAAAAGGAGAGAAAACTAGTTAGTGTAGTATGAATAAAAACTTAACTAAAAAGATTATTTCACGAGTTAATCAAATAGCAAAAAAAGAAATTCTTAGAAATGGAAACTGAAAGAGCAAGTAGGCTTCATGTTTATACTTTACCTTTTTCAGTCATCTGATAGGATGAGACAACGAACATGATTTGAAGTATTCCCCATATAAACATGATACGAAACTTGAAAGCCATGATTCCTGAGCTAGATATGCTTAGAAGTCATTAAATTGTTTAGAATATTGAATTAAAGTTTACAGTAGTCGAGCTGTTCTTCCATAATTTGTTTGAAGTTCTTGGAAATACTTATTTTGTGCATCGACGAATCCTAAATTCAATATGAAAGGAAAAACTTGATTTTTTTCGGTCAGGATGTTAAAGACTGACTCATAAGCATGATGTCTTGATAGCAAGGTTTGAATTAAAACTGCACGGAGGAAAAAAACGAGGGATAAAATAGAAGCCAAACAACACCAAACAATAAATATTTGGAAGTTTCTTCGAAATGAAGGGACTGGGGTGAGAACGAGGCATTCCACAGGAAACCCACGTATGTTCCTAAGACACTTTGACCGCGATCGTCAAATTTCAGTTTGGCGAAAGGAATTAAAAGTGTGGCGAAAATATGAAGACGTGAAAACTAAGCGACCCTGAGTTACCCTGATTCATTTAGACTAAAAGGGTGGACTGGACATCAGTTTACTGGATCTTGAATACCCCTTGAATAGCGCAAATTTTTTTCTTCAATTTTTTTGTTTTGATAGAGTGTAAATAATCTTAATGTATAGCAAAAACATTCCCAACCTCTAAAATTCAATTTATACTTCTAGATTCTGAATTTTGAGAGATTTTTTATTTTGGAAAATCAGGAACTGAGCATAAATGGACTGAACTGGACTTCGATAAGCTGGATTATCGCGGATCGTAAAAAWTTTTTTCGTCTACTTTTCATCTTTTGACAAAGTATAGATAATATTTATGTATAGCAAAACATGCTCAACCTCTAAAATGCGATTTATGCATTTAGCTTTCCAAATTTTGATAGATCTTTTATTTAGGAAAATCCGGAGCCGTGCATAGATGGAATGGGGTGCACTTTGGCTACTGATCTTATAGACATACTTGTAGCTTTTATCCGACCATTCTTACTCTAATATTCATAAATAATGATTCAGTCTTGAAATTTTGCTCACACAAGATTTAGACTTGTTTCACAATTGGTTTGAATTATTCCACTTACACACAAAAGTATGACCACTTTTAATGTTTTGCATACTTCTATGAAGGGGTACTGTACGTTAATCCGACACATTTCGACAAACAAATTTTGACAAACCAACATATTTACCAAATAAGGCGTGCAAACGCTTTGACAGGAAAGAACCCATGCATGAAGTATGCGATTATATTAAACGTGGTCATACTTTTGCGCGTTGCGCTTTAAGACACTTTTAGCAGAAAGAGAGACATCTATAATAACGATCAAGAGAGCAAAATAGCCCCAAATGTTAATACATTTAAAAGTGGGGTCTGTAAATTAGACCACTAACTTTGATCCTGACCTACCCGAGCACTTAAACCTCGAAGAGAGGGCGTGCTTGTAATTTGGTTAATGAGAGTATGTTACTTCGTGGAAAAATCGTGATCATATTCAATCTGAGTTGGCTATGGCGCGCTACACATGCTGCAAGTTAGAGGAGTTGCATGCTACAAACAAATTCGACTCGAATTTCGCGATTTCCTCTACAAACTATGAAACGAGTAGAGTGCAAACAATATAACCGTGAAACTTTAGTAATACTAAATAGCACAATTTCATGCAAATTCCATTGTTTTCTATTGTTTAATTAGCACTATTTTGCACTATTTAGTAATTAGTGTTTCACGGATTAATTGTTTGCACTCTAACTCACAGATAGAATTGGAATTTAGTCGTTTGGGTTTTGGTGAGGAAGAAAGGCCGGAGATGGCGGGGAAAAACCGTTAATTCATGGGAGAGAACGAACAAACTCTACTCACATAAGATGCCGAGGCCAGGAATTGAGCTCAAGACCCCAGAGGTGAACATGCTACTGCTACACCCGGTCCCTGACCCCTAAAAATCCTTGAAAGCAAGCAGTTTTAGCGAAGCAAGTGTTTATTCATTTTAAAATTCCTAAAAAAAGCTATTAACAATACAAATACAATCATCATATATTTTACAAGTGATTATGATTTCAATTTATTTGAATACATTGGTGTGTGTTCCAAGATATCTAACACTTGAAAACGCTTATAAAACTATTGAAGTTGGATACAAATCTTCGCGCATCTGAAAATACAGGCGAATGAAAAACCTTTCCCTGCTTTGGTGCATAAAACTATAAGCCAATTAGGCTCGAGATTGTTAATCCTATTAATCCTATTGAAGATATTGATAGATTTTTATTCAAAAATTACGAGCTTGTGCTTCGAATCTTTTCTATTTCAAAGCATAAATTGTTTGACATGATAATGGCAGAAAATTTATCGCGCGTCATTCATTTTAAAACAATGGTAATAAGACATCGAAGGAGAAAGGGATTTTTGTTTGGAAAGTTGGCTTTCAAACGGTTTTCGCTTTGAACCTAATGCTATCCAATTAGAATGCGGAATCTATTTCAAATTGCGGATTCTTTTCTTTGGAAAAAAGGCGGGAATTTCAGTTTTACTGTCGATTCTCTAAACACAGTTGCTGTCATTTTTACAGTATTTATTGCTTTGCAATCTCTAAGAAACGCGAGCTAAGATAACCAACACTTGAAGTCTGAAAATTTCAAAACATAAATTCAATAACATATTTTCATTAAAATATTGGTTATCGATAAACGCGCATCTTTTCTACGGAAATCTTTGAACTACGTGTCTTTACAAATATGGTATGTTTTGTGTTAACTTTACGAAGAGTTTACTCAAGGACTGGTAGGGGTTTCGTTGCGCAAGGCTTCATGGGATGGAATAGGGATACTAAATTGATCCAGAAGATCTTTTGTGCGAATTTCCACGACTTATGCAAACTGAACTGATAAGCGCGCTACAATTCTTAATCTGAACGTTTTCGTGGCGAATTTAGAAGATTTTTTAAAAATGGAAAAGAAAAAAAAWTTGATGTTGAAAATGCCTATGAAAAATTAAAGCAAAAGACCTTTTCTGAGATAGCGAACATGAAGCATTGTGGTATAGCTTGGGAACAAACATATTATATTTATCTTGCCTTATATGGTATGTTGGTAYCAAGGTAGAACACAACGCTTTTGGGTCATCGAACTCAGAAAAGGATAATTGAGACTAAAGGTTGAAAATATAACCAGTGTTTTTTTGTTGATTCTAGCAGCTTTTTAAAGTGGAGAGTAGATTGTCTTCAAAATGTACACCCATACAACTAGTTGACATTCCTCGTCTCTCTCTTGATGGATATTTTTTTAACTGTTATGGGCTCCCTGTCTCGCTACATGGCATTAAACCCATTCATTTGGGTTGTCTTCAACAGTTTCCATCTTCTTTTTCGGTTGTCCATTTTTTATTCCACTATAGCTGGGATATGTTTTACTCTTGTCCGTCATTTCAATGGATTCCCGGCCGGATCTGCTATCGTCTGACAGATACGGAGGTGGGACTTGATTCAGTGAGTCCCCCCAGCTTCTTTGCCTCCCACCGGACCACTCACTCCCCAGCAGATCAACGTTACTTCCGGCTGTGCTTCCTCCGCGACTTGAGTACTCATGGTCAGTGGTCGATCGCGCGACTGATGGACTGCTACGATGTTCGACGTCGTTGCTAGGAGACCGTTGATACAACTCAGGCTGGCGTTGAACGCGATGTAGTTCTGGATCTTGTTTGCTGAATGAGTCGTCTCTCCATCGTCTGTTCAGACTGTCTGATGGGGTAGAGGGGATAGAGACTTTATCCAGTTCGTCAGGGAAATCTGTTTGGTATTTGTTATCTGGGTTGTATTCCCAACCTTCGCTTTTTATTTGTTGCTTGAGATTCTCGTGCGCCCACAGACTTGCTAACGTCTAGAATAACAAACAGTAGTCATCAATATCAGAAGATATCATTAAATATTATTAAGCTTTGGCTAATGTTTTCCCATTTCAGACCACGTGTCATTTCCTTGAGTATTATATCTTTTATAAAACCTTTTTACTTCAGGTATAAGGTTTTCTCATTTCAGACCACATGTCATTCTCTTGAGTATTACATCTTTTATGAACCCTTTTTACTTTAGGCATGTTTTCCCTTTTCAAACCACGTGTCATTCTCTTGAGAGTAAGATTCTTTGTTTGAGTTGTATCTATATTCGTGTGTCTTCTCATGCGCAACCGTTAGACAAAGAAATGATACTCTAGGGAATGGCACGTGGTCTGTTATGGAAAAAAGATTCTGCCCAAAGTAAAACGGTCCATTACATAAAGTATTATGAAAAGCAGGGTAGATAGCTCTTTGGGGAGAACTGAAGAAGTAAACCAGAAGTAAATGAAATGAATTTGTATGAGTACCTGGTTGGCTGTTCGCACAACTCGCTCATCATACTTGTTTTTGGAGGTTGCGATGCGAACGATACGACGAATTGCCGTGGTCTTTTTGATCAACCTAGAAACACAAGGGAATCATCATCATCATCATCACTATCATGATCACTATCATTACGATCACCATCATCACTTCCCTCATCATTATCATCATCATTCTCACCACCATTATCACCCTTATCATCAACAAGATCTCCAGAATCATCATCATCACCATTATCACCCTCATCATAAACCTTCATCATCTTCAGAATCATCATTATCATTATCATCACCATCATCACCAACCCTCATCATCACCAACCCTCATCATCACCAACCCTCATCATCACCAACCCTCATCATCTCCAGAATCATCGTTATCATTATCATCATCATCAACATTATCACCCTCATCATCAACTCTCATCATTACCAGAATCATCATCATGGTCACCGGAATCATCATCACCATCACCATCATTATAGTTAAGTATTACTGAAAAGATCTAGAATATTCTTCATTTACCTCGCGTTCTTCTCACTTCTTTTCCCAAGTTGGAACAAAGCACAGAGTATCGACACGATTGTCGCATCCTTAACGAGTCTTTCGCCTCTATCTTCTCCGAGGGGCAGACGATTTACTAGTGCACCTATGCCCTTTTCACCTAGAAATACAGCGATGAAAGAGAATCAAGAATCTGCTTTCAAATATACAGCTTCAAGAATTATATAAAAAACTTGTCCGGGGGGACGGGAGAGGGTGGGGGGCTGCGCACAAAGCATACGAGCACCTATCTCCTTCTGAAGTGATAGACGTCCTATTTCGGTAAGGGAAAAAACTGCTTACCTATAATTCTCTTGTTTTCAGGATCAACAGACAGATTCCTTAACGCGATGGCAGCAGCTCGTATTACTGGATCGTAGTCTACCTTTAGTAGAGCGATGATGTTTGGGATTGCGAGCTCACGTCTTGTGTCACCTCTGATCTTAATGGCCCACTACGAAGCAACAGATATATATTCTCAGTGTACCAGCTGGAAGGTAATCTCAGAATTTTTTTTTTCCAGTCTTATAATTAGCAGCTGCATAAGTTGCTTGATATACTGCACAGGTTAGCTCAATTAGATACATTATAACCACAGTACAAATATATAGTTTATATTATATTCTCATATAAATAAAGAATTAGTAATAAATCCTACCTATTTTGCAAGGGTAATACACAGTCTAACAAACCATTAGAATTAGAATTTAGAGGTTGAATTTAGAAACTGAAGTTTTTGCAGGGGAAGGGGGGGGGGGGGCCCAAAAAAAACTTTCCTTTTACTGCGCGATAGCGTGAATTCTATAAAAAGCCCAAGCACGCAAATGTATGGCGAAACTGGGTGRATATAAATCGAATTGAAGTTTGTAAAACGAAAGGTCGCGACTCTTGTCATGACCCTTATTAATGCATTTCCGTTTATAGCCTGCTTTAATTGGCGGTCTGCGGTTGTTGCGCAACACCAAAGAACCGCGAAGCAACACACCAAACACCGCAGACCGCCAAGGAACACAGGTAAAACCGCAGACCATCGAAACGCGTAGGCTAATCTGTTCCTTGACCTACCTTCCACGAGCACGCAGTCAAGTTATGGATGGCACCAGCCGAACCTTCAAGAGTTTCAGGATTTTTTGCGTTTCTTAGAAGACCATAATATTGGCGTACGGTAGTGGGTTGATAGATCAATGCAGGTCCCGTGGGGGGTCCCCTGCGGATTTCTTCGTTCATAGGTGTATTTTGCTTCTTCTTTTTCTTCTTGCGTCCTCCACAGCCCGCAAAGCATCCCTGGGATTGCTGTTCTTTGACGGTTGCTTTGTCGAGTTGGACTTCAGCGTCGTCATAGAGGTCTCGGTCGAGCTCACTCTCCAAACGATAGGAGAGGTTACGTAGCGTACACACGCTATTCTCCACGCACTGTAATCATGAAAAAACAAAACCATTAAGTTACGACGATTTTTTTTGTGGAAACTCTTGATTAGAAACTACTTTCATAACCAATTTCATTGCGTTTTGAAACACCGTGATCGACTGGAAGGTGAATTATATACAAAACAAAGGCGAGCGTGTAAAGATATTGTACTACAATTATTCTTGAGTTTTAAAAAGCTTTTGTTTTGGAAGATTTTATCTTGGACTCAAATCCCTCAACAAAGTCAATTAAGGGTACTTTTCTAATTTGATTTTTTCGCCCTTTATTTTCATCCATATTGGGCACCCTGTGGTTTGGGTAAATGGTATACGTACCTTGTCATCGTATCGCTTATTCCTGACTCCAACTCTTATAATCCAAACCAGGCAGTCAATGAGGTGCTCTTCACTGCGCAAGTCTTGACGCGCTTCTGCGCCAGCAGATGACAGGTTGCGCACGATTCTTGTCGCATGCTCCAATAGCTCAGACCATTGTTCATCAGTTTTCGGGGGATCGCGTTGTGCTACTGTCTTGTCCCATTTCGAGAAGGTCTTGATGATGACGATTACGAGGATGTGAAGACAGATCCTCAGGATACGAAGACGAAGAACCTGCCAATAATATCAACATAAACGATTAAATAAGAGAAGTTAAGGTATAGAGTCAAGGTCAATACAGTCAAGGATATAGAGGTTTTGCACGATCACGTGACGGCAGCCATGTTAGATGGCAGAAACAATACAATCGTTTTACATAAGAAAAAATTTCAATAAAGGGATATAATTGTTCTGCCATCTAACCACAGGCAGTCAAAGCTGTTTTATGGGTGCCAACAAAGCCTCTATAATGGACAAAAATCCAGAGTGATCAGATTTTCCACAAGGAATCAAACTTGGTTTCTGCGTCAGTATATTACAGTTAATGTATGTGATTAATATTAAATCGATTTTAAACATTTTTGGAAGCTTCGAAAATTTTCCAAAAAGTCCAGAATAAAGCAACTTAGTTTTACCAACATAATTTTATTGTAATATACTGACACCGTCCCGACACAAGCAATTTTCGTTAAACGTGTGCAGTAAGAATGATAAGGCTCATGCATCGAGAGCTGGTGTTACTGACACAAAAATCGAGTTTGAGTTGCCTGTGGATGCTTTGGATGCAGCCCATCAAAGAGTTGTATCAAACAATGCCGGTCGGTCAGTACGTAGCCCTCAATGCATTTGTACTGTTGCAATAGTTAAGGATAAATAAATTACCTCAAGAACGGAAAGATTGCGTAAAACCACAAGACAAACGGAGCGGTGCTCTGACTTGCTCGTTCTTTGAAGCATTTGAATCAAAGCCTCGATTCCTCCGCAGTCAGCGATGGCAAGCTGTTGGGAAGAAAACCAAATATTATTGAGTAAGATCCCTAGAGAATTGCACTGAAGCCTCTATCACATGTGCTGTGTTCTTACACAAACAGTGCCTTCCTCTCCGCCTCAGGCAATTTATGAAGGCGAGGGACGAGGAAAACATGTTTGTAATCGTTCATCATCACCTTATTCTCCTCGCTGTTGGCACCGTATGATAGATTTCTTAGGACACCTGCAGCAGCAAAACGCATATTCTCATTTGAGTGCTCCAAACAACGGACGATGATTGGTATACCACCAAGATTCCTGGAAAATCAGACGTGCTAATTAATAATCGTCATTATTATCAACGTCATCAGTATAGTCAACATCATCATTCATCAATAGCATTATCATGATCATCATCATCAGTCATCATCGCACTATCGTAATAATTATAATACTAATAATCATCACAATTATCATCATCATCAGCAATCAGCCATCATCACAATCATCACCTTCATCAACAGCATTATCAATATCATCGTCATCATCATTATCAACATCCCCAATATATTCATCTTCATCATCATCATCAGTTATCAGTCACCATCATCATCACCATCATCATCAACATCATCATCACAGTCATCATTACTATCATAACAACAAACTGTCATACCTGACTTTATTCTTCACGTTCTCGTCATTATAACACAAATGCTGAAGATAGAACGCCGCATGCGTAGCTTTGGTGACGTCACTAGACTGCATGTAGTCCAGTAAATCCGGTATGTCTGGTTCGTGGCCCACTAAAAGTGGACAGACAGACCAAAATTAGTACACCTGGATAGTCAAATATCAGTTGCCACATAGATTAACATTAGTAATGGTTTACGTACCTACTTGACAGTAGCCCCACGATTCTAAAATAAAAACATGAATGAATTAGTCACAAATCATTGTGGTCATTCATATCAACAGTCTGTCCGTCTGTCCATCTGTCTGTCTGTCCATCTGTCTGTCTGTCCATCTGTTTGTCTGTCCATCTATCTATCTGTCTGTCTGTCTGTGTGTAGTATCGTGTTCTTACCTAGAGGTATATCGATAGGGTTATCGCGGTTTTCACCGATCCATTTATTGTTCTTAAACACGTATCTTTCACTCCTATCCGGCACGTAAACCACGACTTCATCTATCAACCAGTTAGGATCAGAAGGACCACGGTTATCATGTCCCACACGAAAATACTCCAGCTGTTGATTTACAAAAAAAAATCAAAAAAAAAAAAAAAAAATTTCACTTCAACTGTTACATTTTTGCTATATAATGGTAAAATGGAGCTTTGCGTGGAACACGGTTGCACAGTTTTTCGAAGCCTCTCTAGCTTTCTTTCACTTACTTTGCCAACATTTCTTCCACGTGTGTTGAACTTGTCTGTCTGTCCAGGCTGGAAGTGACTACCATCACTGTTATCTCCTAGCTGCACAGTATCCGTTTCTCCACCTTCACCCAGTAGCTTGAAGTAAACATTAGAGTCTGTGCCAGAATTTGGCTCGTTTGAAGTCTTGAACTCTACCAAATAATCTGTGTCTAAAACACAAAGTCGTATTAAGTTATTAAAGGATTTTAGGGATTGATAATACAGAAATGAAACGGTGTAT